GAAATAAAATACAAACAGCAAAAGCATTCCAAAATAATTCATACATTGAGATTTCCAGGAAAGAGCATTATAACCACTGCTTCAAAACATATTCAATAATCAAAATGAAAATATTATAAAAATGAATGGTAATAGAGGGTCTTAGCAAAGAAATGAAAAATAAAAAGCAAACCATTCGAGAATTTAGAAGCATGATGTTTGCAATAAAATATCACTGAAATCAACCAACAGATATTTGGAGATATCCAAGGAAAGAAACACTGGTGTGTGTAGAGTGTTCAAGAGAAATTGCTTAATTTAAAAACAAGAGATTCATAAATATCTTCAGTGATTTGTGACACAAAATCAAATGGTCTATACTGTCTAATTGGAGTTCTAAAAGGATAGGAGAGAAAATAGAGCCTAAAAAGTATCAGAAGATATAATGACTGAAATATTTCACAATTTTGGTGAAGAACAAAGACTGCAGAATGCTCAGTGATACAAGGCAGAATGATACAAGTGAAATTATGTCAAGATAAAAATATTACAAATGTTACAAACAAAAAGGGAAGCGAAGGCATATGGAGTTAAACTGCTAAGAATCAAAGGAAGATCACAAAAGTAGGAAAATGTGCATTACAAAGAGAGACATAAATCTACAAAAGAGGACTCCTGCCATTTCCCTACATAGAGTGGAAGTAGATGACACCTTTAAAACAACGATATTAAAAATGATAATAACAATAGTAACAAGTATTTACACTTCCAGGAAGATGGAATAAAGGTTCTCTACTTTACCCCTTAGTACGATTACATATTTCCAATTTTTATATACAAAAATATAGCTCTAGAAACAGATAGATAAAATAATACGAGAAATTCTATTTCCTCATAATTTACATGTTTACACTCTAATTTACAATATCACTGAATATGACTGTGATTGAAGATAAGTCATACAATTTGGAGAATAAAACAATACGGTAAAAATAAAGTAAACCTTTATCTAATCTAACCAGGATCAGAAAGTGAGACTTTGTCTCAAAAGAACAACAAAAAAACTATTTGGGGTTTATAACACATTTAGAAATTAAACATGTACAAGACAGGCATGGTGGTGCACAGCTATAATCCCAGCACTTGGAAGGCTGAGGCAGGATGATCACTGTGAGTTCGAGACTAGCTTGGACTACACACTGAGTTCCAGGTCAGTCTCAACTACATAGTGAGACCCTGTCTCAAAAAAACAAACAAACAAAAAAATTTAAATATATAGTGATATTACCATATCAACAAGAGAAAAGAACAAAAGTTCTCTACTATTACTCAATATAAAGTGGCATAACAGCATACCAGAATCTTGATGGCTTAAATAACAAAAACTCATTTTTCACAGTTCTAGAGACTAGGAGCCTAAAATTTAGGTAATCATTTATCACTTGCTATTACACCGCTATGGACTCTGACAGTCTCATCTACTACTCACATAGCTGAGAAAATGATGCAAGCTCCCTGGTGTTTTTTCTTGGAAGGCCACTGATTTCCTTATAAGAGCACCCTACTCTCATGATTTCTTCTCAACCTCATCACCACCCAAAGGCCCAAGTCCAAGTACCATCACACTGGTTCTTAGAGACTAAATGTATGCATTTGGGGAGGTGCTACAATTAAACCTGTAGAAGGTTCTTATAAAATATGAAAATAGTCAAATATATTTCCTGAAACCCAATGCTTAACGTGTATGTTGTAAGACCTGGAGTTACCACTAAACTAAATCAAAATAAAACAAGCAAAGAAAAATTTGTAGAGCTTAAAGTTTATATGTGACCTTGCAAGACTGTGAAACCCAGTTCCTTAATCAAGCACCTCAGTAGATGTTGCCAGGTACATATTTATAGAAGTAATTAACCTACACAATAAGTTGACTATTTAGTGAAGGAGATTATCTTTGATGACTTATTGAGCCTGAGATTTATCCAAGAAAGAATTCTGCCTTTAGGCTGAAATGGAAATTGTGCTTTAATTTTCAACCTGCCAGCCGAGTCTAACATTTCAAACTCAAGACTACACCGTGGACTCCTATTTGAGTGTCCAGATTTCAGGTTTGCCAGTCTCTGTAATCTAGATTCCAATTTCTTAAAATAAATCTCTTAATACTACTTTTTTTTGTCTGTAGACAATCTTGACTAATAAGGAATATCTAGCTAGAAAAGGCTGGTGATACAGCAGAGTCACTAAAATACAGATAAGCCAGGAAATGAGAAAAAAACAAAAGCAACAAAGACCGCATGACAAAAAGGCCATGACCCTCAGAGCTGGGATCGGCTCCCATTGTTCAGGGCTGCTCCCAGGTCTTGCCCAAGACAAGCATGGCTGTGTGGTTCGCAGCCTAACTTTCAGGTCTTGGAAAGTGTAGCTGATGGAGCACTGGGGGCCCTTGCCCTACTGTCTTTGCAATTGTGGACAAAGCATTACGTTTCTACATTCCTACCTGTCCCTCAAATGTTTAGGCAATCTCTTGGCAACCTAGCTGCTGTTATCTATCGTATCCTGGAGCATGTATCTGAATATGGATATTTTCCAGATTGGCCCTTGTCATCTCCCTCGACCCTGTAGCTGTTCTGCTATGTGAAGCATACTGTGCTTTTGATACTATGTGGGATGCCCTCTACAACAAAAAATGTAGCCATGGAAGCAACACCAAACTTCCTGTGATCACCTACCTGCTAATAAAAAGGATTATATAATGGCCTCAATTAACTGAGCTTTAATTGGGCAGCATTACACGTTGTATCAGTATCAAGGGCTTATTCAATCCATCTGTTTGGCAGCCTCTATGATTTTCTGCAACTAAGTGGACACTGTTGTATAATAATACTGTGTATACCCACCATGACAAAATAGGTGATGCTCTGATTGGTCTTCATACCAAAGCGATGAAAGCACAAAGCAGTGCCTTGGTGGCTTCTATATTCAGATACTAGGAGTGCTGAACCTGGTGGGAGTGAACAATGACCTGACTGCTCCCCGCTATCCTGTTTTGTGCTAAAGGAAAACCACTGGCTGGCCAGATTCACAGTCCACATCCACAGCCCTGATAAATTTTAGGATAAATTTACAACCAGCAAAACAATACAACTACCAGTTAGCTTAAGGATTGTCCTTGATAATTCACTGAAAGAAAAGATGGAAGAAACAAAGAAAAATATATATCATAGAGTAAAACATTAGCCCATATAGTTTATCTGCAAAAATTTTAAGCAGATTTTTATAAAACTCTAAAATCTTATTTCCATATGATTACACTAAAATAAGCTATTGCAACATGTGAAGAAATTAAGAACTATTAATTCAACTAGCTTAATAGCAACATTCTTCCCTGTAACAGAAACTAAGAACTCATCAGTTAAAAGTACCTTGAAAATTTTAAGTCAATGAACACTTGTGCTTCTCTAAAGTTAAAGGAATTGATGAGTTAGGAAAAACTTGATATGTCTCTCACCTAAATGATAGTTAATATAAATGGCCTTAATGCTGCAACTGAAAAGCAGAGAAAAAACCCAACTACATATTGTTCATAAGAAATCCACTTTAAAAATCAAGAAAAAGGGCAGAAGATTTAGCTCAGTGGTTCCTGCCTTCCAGGCACAAGATCACAAATTTGATCCCTGGTAGCCCTCCCAAAAAAATCGAGAAAAGATAGATTAACAGTAAAAGGACAAAAAGTGAATTGTTATGTCATAGATAATTGGAATGGCTATCCAAACAAAGTTCATCTCAGTGCAAGGAAAATTATAAAAATTTAATAGAAACATTTTCTAATATTAAAGAAGTCAATTCTTTTTTCTAGTTTTTTATATTTCTATTTGTACATATTTTCAGTACATAGGATTACATTTATCATGGGAAATTGATAAACATACATAACATATCTGAATAAGTTTTACTTGTCTCCTTCCCTTCCTTTCCCTTCCTCTCCCCTCCCTCCACCTTTTGGTCCCTTTCCCATATGCAAAAGATCCACTTACTGGTTCATCAAAGAGAAATAAAACTCGAAATATTTAAACACTCGTTAAAAGCTTCCAAAACACATGAAGCCAAAACTGAGACCAACAATGGCAAGAACCTATTACTGAAATGGATAGTCCAGAAGGTCTTTATTTAACTAATCCTAATTAAAATGAATAGCAATGGAGGAAGATAGAGGCGCTAGCAAGACTCAAATCTCTCTTCTGGCCATGTGAATGGGCACTCAAATCACTGCAAATATTTTATATTTTGTCAGCCAATTCTTCATCATTATTAGAACCAAATGCCATGAGACAGACAGCAGGACTAGGTAACATTATTGTCATGGCTGTGTCATGTTACATAACAAAATAACAGAAATCCTCGTGATCTCTAAATCAAAAGAAACACATTAATATGACATGTAGTTTGAGTCCCTTTTTTTTTTTTTTTTGGTGCCGGGTATTGAACTTGGGTCCTTGGGTCCCATTTTATAGGCTACTTTAATTACATATTGAGACATCCAAGTGAGATTACATGCTTAGCTATTTTTCCATATGAAATCTCATGCCTTTTATTCTATATTAGAACTGAAGATTGATCATTATGTAATTGTAAATCTCGATGATAAAGTTAAGAAAAAGGCATAGTGATTGAGTGCCTTCTGACTCTTGCCTAGTGAATCATAGCAGAATATACCAGTATCTTTAAAGCAAAGCTAGATGAGTATGTGTGTTACTAAAGTTGAAATTTTGTACAGATGACGTAGTTGGATCATAAGCCAGAAAATATGATACCTGGAACTGGAGATTGTTATGGTTTAGTTCTAAAATATCCCCCAGATGTCTCACGTGCTCAGAGGTGGACTTTTGGAAAATGACTGGTACATGAAGGCACTAAAGGCAGTAAGTAGGTTAATTCATTTTCCAGATCAAAACTGAATACACTGTTATATATAACAGTACATTCTTGAGGACCCCAGAGGGGGTTTTTTTCAGCTGCCTGCCTACCTGCCTGTCTGCGATCACCCGGCGGCGTGCGCGTGAGCTCCCGGCCTGCGCGGGAGCTCCCGGCCTGCGCGACAACAGACCCAGGAAGGACCCAAG